GCGGCGCTCCCTCCCCCACATCTCCTCCTCTTTTTGACGGTACCCTTTGATACCCTACAAGTATCAGGCTTGATACCTTGGTATCAAGGTTTGATACCTAGGTACCACCCGATATCTTGGGTACCGGGCATCAGGTATCGGTCGATACCTAGTTGGTATCAAGGGTACCAGGTACCAAGTACCAACCGATACCTAAAGTATCAGGTATCAGATACCAACCGGTACCACTAATATAGATCCTTCTATCTGTGACGGGCTCTAATATGCTTAGAAATAGCGGGCCGTCACAAGGAAGTCATCTCAATCGGGCCGAAAAGTGCCCGATTGAGATATGGTCGCACAGACATGTTAGATGGGTATAAAACTTAAGCCCGTCACGGATGACACCTATCAGTGACGGGCCACAACTTTAGGCCCGATTGAGGTAACATTCCATATCTCAAACGGGCCTAAAGTTGTGGCCCGTCACAGATGACCATCATCTGTGACGTGCACCAACTTGAGGCCCGTTTGAGATAACAACCAGGCCCGTCACAGATGACTCATCAGTGACGGGCTATATACTTAATCTCTATCGGGCATTAACTAAAGCCTGTCACTGATGACTATTTTTCCATTTTTCATATGAAATGTTTATATTTGTAAGTTGACTATAGCAAAATAAATTTACGGGTAGTAAATGATTTCAAATGGAAAAAAATGTCAACAACAAAGTTGTATAACTCATCAAAATGTATAACTTTTATTTTGGTCATTTTTCTATATAACATTTTTTTGAACCGTTTGAATTTTAATTTGAAAATATGACAACTTCAAACAACATTTTCAAATACTAAATGATTTCAATTGAAAAAGTCATCAACAACAAAGTTGAATAACTCATCAAGATCTAAAACTTTTATTTTTGTTATTTCTTTATCTGACGAAATGTTAGTAATATTATTTATAAATTTACATATATGTATTATAGTTTATAAAACTAGATAAGAGATATGTCAATTTTGTGAACAATGTTACTATCACTTTGTCGTATGAAGAAATGACCAAAATAAAAGTTTTAGATCTTGATGAGTTATTCAACTTTGTTGTTGATGACTTTTTCAGTTGATATCATTTAGTATTTGAAAATGTTATTTGAAGTTGTCATATTTTCAAATTAAAATTCAAACAGTTCAAAAAATGTTATATAGAAAAATGACCAAAATAAAAGTTATATATTTTGATGAGTTATACAACTTTGTTGTTGATGACTTTTTCAGTTGAAGTCGTTCACTGATCTAAAATTCTATTTTAACTTTTCAAACTTTGAATTTCAAATTTCAAATTATTTAAATAGAGTCAGATGGAGAAATGACCAAAATAAAAATTTTGCACCTCGATGAGTTCTACAACTTTGGTTTTGGTGACTTTTCCATTTGAAATCATTTAATAACCCCAATTTGACATCCTGGCCTAGGACATGATAGGATTAATAGAATACTCATACCAACATGTTACAATTACTTTTTTGGAAGGTAATCTCTAAAGAACTTTGACGTTAAGTGTGCTTGGTCTGAAGCAATTTCGGGATGGGTGACCTACCAAGGTGCACACGAGTGAGGGCTAGCCAAAAAATAAAATTTATTTATTTTTGGAATATACTCATCTGTGACGGGCTATAGTTAATGCCCGTCACAGATAAGGGTCATCTGTGACGGGCGCTAGTTGTGGCCCGATTGAGATAGGTCATCTGTGACGGGCTATAGTTTGACTGGTCGTCTGGGTCAAAGCTATCGGTGACGGGCTTTACTTAGGGCCCGATTGAGATGGAAACATCTGTGACGGCCGTTTGCCCGATTGAGATAGCTCTTTACATCAGTGACTTCTAGCCTGTGACGGACGCCATGCCCGATTGAGATGGGGCTTACTGCCCGATTGAGATGAGGGTATCCGTTCTAGTGTACCTAAGGCCCGATTGAGATGGGGCTTATCGCCCGATTGAGATGAGGGTATCCGTTCTAGTGTACCTAAGGTAGCAGGTATCAGGTACCAGGTACTAGGGGAGCACACGTGGACAGAGAAAAGGAAAAGGGAGAGTCACTTAAAATATTCCGTTGCAACGGTATCCCGTGGACTAGCAGCCCCCATAAAATAGTCCTATATGTTCTCTTAATCAATACATACACTTAGGGTGTGTTTGAGAAGAAGGGGATTGGAGAGATTGGGGAGATTGAGAAGATACGCAAAACGAGGTGAGCCATTAGCACATGATTAATTAAGTATTAACTATTTTAAACTTCAAAAATGGATTAATATGATTTTTTAAAGCAACTTTCCTATAGAAATATTTTGTAAAAAACGCACCGTTTAGTAGTTTGGGAAACGTGCGCGTGGAAAACGAGATGCTTTTCTCCCTTAATCCCCCGAATCGCCCAGGAACGAACGAAGCCTTAGAAACCATCCTCTGATCCTCGTAATTGAGAGAACAAAAACATTTAATGATACTCATTTACTCTTTACACAGATAAATAAAAATGTACTTGCTAGATGATGATGAACTCTAAGTCGTTGTTATTCCTAACAACGATATTTATCTTTCCTTTTTTTTTTCATATCACCAAATTTACTTGCATGCTAACGAAGAAAACCGGTTATAATAAACACATTTGTAATTGTACTTGCCATCTGTCCGTTAGACTTGTCAAACTGAAATTACTGTCCTCAGCAAGGAAGAAATTAAGTACTACAGCCAGAGTCACGGAGTCAAGTCTACTGCAAATTAACCCGCAGCGGACGCGAGAATTCCTTCTAGAAAGTCTTGACCTTGTGGGTAAAAATGGTGCAGATGCAATGCGATGCGAGGTCGCCGGTCAGAGGTTGCGACGATGCGATGCCCCGTTTCCTCCTCCTTTCGTGGGGTAGTAGCCGTCACTCGTCGTCAGCCGTGCGTGCCATCTGTTCCTGTCTAGAAGGTTTTGGTAGTTCTTTCTCACCCGGAATAATCTTATCCCTATGTGGAGGTTAAATAATCGGAGAATGAATTATTGCAAAGATTGAGATGCACTCCCTCTGTTGCTCTATGCCATAAAATCTCGTATCTTAATTAGTATCCCAAGAAATACTTAAGAAAAGAAAAAGCTCAAAATACCCATAATTAAATGATAAAGTTGTATTGGTGGTGGTGGATGAGTAGAAAAAGGTATCGATATAAGATTTCTTGATTTGCGTTCTGGTGTTCGGTAAGAAGGTGAAAATTGATTTATTTTGGGATAAAATTTAAAGTTAATAGTTATTTTAGAAAGTATTGAGTTCTAGATATAATATGTTAGATTAAGAGAGAAATGTTTTTCTTATGTCCCTAAGAATTGAGATAAGCTTCGTTTTTAAGGTTGGAACTTTTTGAAACAACACGCATAAAACAATGAGATGCTTCGTATTGGTAGAGCATGAAAAAAAAATACAAGTCTACATCATTGGAGGCCTATAGTCAGAGAAAGAAAAAAAAAATCAGCCACACCACACATCTATGACCAAAACCTCGACTGAAGAACACAACATTCCAAAGGAAACGAACTTCTAACCGATGCCTCTAAGAAAAATGCAACGCCAAGTGCCACCGAGCGCCCGCCTTGAGGAATCAGGACGTGGTTTTCACCTAAAGATCTCCATCGGAGAGGGCAAGGCCACGCACCCGCAAGCGTTGCCGTTGCTGGCCCGAAGGGCTAGGCTTTCACCCATAATCTTTCTGCCGTCCCGCGTCGAAGTTGCTTACAAATCAGTGGCCACCACCAACAACACGCCTTCAATGCATGGCCACCGGGCCAGCGCCTCATCGCCGGCCGACCATCAAGCAGGAGCCCGACATCTAGCACACTCCAAATCCATCCATGCAGTTGGGTTGGTGAGAGAGAAGGATGGATCCCCTCTCACCCGCACTAGACCACCCAACGTGGCCATCTTGTGGCATCTAGACGTCGCTGCAAGAGGACTGTCGTCTAGATCGAAGCCCGTCGTAGACCTGCAACACTCACCTCACAGTTCCACTGTCGTCGTCGCTTTGGGCGAACTACCTGAATCACTGCTGCCTCAAGCTGTCCATCCGCATCGCCATCGCCTCACCCCGAAGTCCCTTGCCAGCAATGCATCACTGCCGGTCACCGGCTACCACGCCGAGCCACAACAATCCACTGTCGTCGCTAGTCGTGCCTTCGATGCGCACCGACCGCCCTTCCACAGTGCTGGCCTCCCTCCGCCGCCACGCCGCTCCATGTCACTCCTACTCCCGCCACCACCGGCCCAATGGCGCCCCAGCCAGATCCCGCCCAGGGTGGCCGGATGCTGTCACGTGGGGGCCGGATTTGGTGGCGTCGTTGCCGGATCCACGGCCGCCCTCGCTGGGGTGCACCGCCGCTGCATCGGCTCCACTCGGGGGTAAGGTTCTAGTTTCAACCATATTGAATTGATATTGTAGATCCATTAATATAATTAACCTCTCCAAGTATTTTTCACCCTTTCTTTTGACACGGTTTTTCACCCTTACCGCTCTAGTTAGAAGGTGAAAATAGTAAGCACTCATCACAAAAATCGCTTCTATCAACTGGCTTGGTCTTTTTTCGCAAAAAGAGATGGCAAACTGTCTTGGTCTCGTGCCCAAAATTTCAAAAGAAAACAATTTTTATAAAAATCAAACCAAAAATGGTACTCCAACAAATGGGCCAGATCGAGGCCTATCATAATGATAGAAAGATGCCGAAGGGACATAGGCCCATCATAATGCTAGAAATGGGCCAGAGATCAGTTCCAACAAATGGGCCTGAGATAATAAGCCTGTAAGATCAGCCCAACCCAACGGAGCCCACCACTGAAAGCCCACCGACCGACTAAGCTAAGGCGAGAGCTCTCGTCTCATCTCAGACGCGTCGCGGTGTAGCCTCTCCTCCACCCGTCTCACCCGCCGCGCCACACGTGTCCGCGACGCCGGCACGTGCCACCGCGTAAGCGAAGCCTTTTAGCTCGCTCGAGCAACTCCGGCGAGCGCGAGTGAGCGATCGATCCATCTACCGGCGATGATTCTGCGGAGGACGCTGCCGAGGCTGGCCTCGGCGAAGGACGGCAGCGGCGGCGGCTTCGCCGACGGCCACTTCCCCTCCCTCCGCGGCCACCCCGCCGCGCGCGCCAACGCGCGGGACGCCGCCGAGAAGCAGGCGGCGCTGGCTGCGAAGGAGGAGGAGATCAGGGACCACCGGCGCGGCGACGCCGCGGCGGCGTCGCCGGCGCCGTCGACGGTGAAGGAGTTCCGGGTGTACCGGTGGAGCCCGGACGCCCCCTCGCGGCGGCCGCACCTGCAGTCGTACCACGTCGACCTCGCCACATGCGGTCCCATGGTGCTGGACGTCCTGCAGAAGATCAAGGCGGAGCACGACGCGACGCTGGCGTTCCGGCGGTCGTGCCGGGAGGGCATCTGCGGGTCGTGCTCCATGTGCATCGACGGGGTGAACACCGTGGCGTGCCTCAGGCCCGTGGACACCGACACCTCGTCGGCCACGACGGTGACGCCGCTGCCCCACATGTACGTCGTGAGGGACCTCGTCGTCGACCTGACCAGCTTCTACCAGCAGTACAAGTCGGTGGAGCCGTGGCTGAAGAGGAAGACGAAGACGAAGACGGAGACGACGGAGCACGCGCAGTCGCCGGAGGAGAGGAAGAGGCTGGACGGGCTGTACGAGTGCATTCTGTGCGCGTGCTGCAGCGCGGCGTGCCCGTCCTACTGGTGGAACGCGGAGGCGTTCCTGGGGCCGGCGGCGCTGCTGCACGCGTACCGGTGGGTGTCGGACAGCCGCGACGAGTACGCGGCGGAGCGGGTGCAGGCGCTGGCGGAGGGGTGGGACAAGCTCTACCGCTGCCGGATGATCAAGAGCTGCACGGCCACCTGCCCCAAGAGCCTCGACCCCGCCGCCGCCATCTCCGCCATGAAGACCCTGCACCAGCTCGGCAAGCCATGACAGAGACACACAGAGAGAGAATGTTGTTCTAGTGTTTAGCGTGCGTTCCAGTTAATTAATCTATTTTTGAATAATAATCCATCGAATTACTACGATTAAGGTCATATTCTTTCCTCTAACTCTTGTTGGATGAAGATTGTTGGATGAAGATTAAGATTTTCGTGACACGTTTTTCAAACTGTTAAATGGTGCGTTTCATGCGAAAACTTTATATACGAAAGTTGCTCTAAAATATCATATTAATCTATTTTTCAAGTTCGTAATAATTAAACTCAATTAATTACACATTATTACCATCTTATTTTGCGTAAAAAATTTAATCTTCATATTTATCTTCAGGAGATTCAAACACCGCAAACCTTACATCAGCTCTCCGACACGTTATTCCGAAATCGAAATACTTTCAATCCAGCTCGAGTTGACACGTTATTCCGAAATCGAAATACTTTCAATCCAGCTCGAGTTGATGGCTGATTAGAGATACATTTAAAAGAATCGAATTGAACTCCAATTTGTTGATTAATTTGTTTGAATTCCATCGAGTTTTAACGATCTCCGAACAGTTTCCCATAAATTTCTATCGGAGCAGCGGCTTTACACAATTTTGGCAAGTATTTGGGATAACAAAAAAATTCAGAGCAGCCCACATTGCACATTACTTTCTTGGGCCGCAAGAAGATCAGGCTTTCTTTCTTGGACCAGAAGTCGCACTCGCACACACCCGAACCCGACCGAGCCAACCAGCGACCCGAGACGCCCACAAAACCGCCCAAAGATTTCCTCCCATTTATCGCGTTTCCTCCCTCTCCAAGCACTCTCCCCTCCCCTTCCCCTTCCCCTTCACTTCCCCTCTCCTCAACTCCACCGCCTTCCGCCTCGCTGCGGAGCCCCCGCGGCCATGCTGACCCCGCGCGTCCTCAAGCTCTCGCTGCTCCGCCGCCTCGGCGCCGCCTCCGCCGCCCGCGCGGCCGAGCGGCCTCCGCCGTGCCGTCCCAGGTGCGAGATCCTGCCCGTCGTCTCGCTCTTTTTTTTTTTTTGAAATTCGTCGTGCGCGCAAGCTGTTCGTGCTAATGCCGCAGCGGGCGCTTCCCCCGCGATGGCGCCCCTGGTTTCTCGCTGGATTTGGTGGGGTTTTGTTTTGTTTTGGGTGTTCTGCGTTGTGGGGGGGGGGGGGGGGAGGCCTGAGTCGTTCGTCTCGTGCGTGTTGTGTAGCGGGTAGGATTCGGGCAGGGGCCGCTGTTTGCGTTGCAATTTGGGAGTGATTAGGGCGTTTTGGCCGCGGAATGGATGTGGTGAAGTTGCGGTTAATCTCGGTATCCTGCTACAGGAAACAAGTAATGAGTTGACGCTGCGTGCATTCACTGCACGCTGGTCGCATTCACCATTGCCGTGTTACTAGGTTCAACATCCAGATGCGGTGGTTTCTGTTTAGATGTAGTTAGATAATTGCTTTGAATAGCGTTTGGAAACTTGGTCGGGTTCGATCGTGTTTTAATGTTGAATATGCTGCCAATTGGACCATTCACGGTTTGCTGTGCACGCTGTCTTACCTTTCCTCTTGCAGATGATACATATTTAGACTTGTGCAGGGCTCTAGGCTAGAATTATTATCTAGAAGTATTTCATTACATGACATTTGAATCGGAATGGACATTCCTACTTCACCAATGGATTGATTTCACAATTGTTTCTGTGCCCCTTACAGCTTGCTAGCTATTACTGTTGACCTATGAATTAATGCTTGAGTTGATTGAATGATAACGTTAAGCAATTGTGGAGATAATCCTACTGCCATGGGTCTTGTCCTGCACGTGCCTTTGTTGTTTGTTTAATTGAGTTGGTTCGGTAATTCTGGATATTTGCTTATACAGAGTGTTTCCTGCGAGGAGTAATCATTCTCGAGGTTATTCCAGTGAAGGAGGCTCCAAGTATAATAGGCCAATGAGACAATTTGCTGAAGAGAATGAGGCGAATCCTCAGCCGCTGATATATTATGTTGTTGTATGTTATTTATCTATATTCCCTCATATTTTTGTTTCCATATTTTTATTTTTCATGATAATTTCCACAGATTTGTTAATGTCAAATTGGGTTACTGGCAAATTTTCACTCTGTTTTTTATGTGCAATATCATTTGACCTATAGAACTTTTATCAGCATTCTCATGTGCAATGTTATTCTCTAAATGTGTATATTGATTTTGCAGCCATCTGCTCTACTAGTTTTTGCTGGACTAGTCACTTTTGTTCACTATAATGATGAGAAGCGTGCAGTTACCCAAGGTACTTACAGAATTTCCCAGTTGTGCATCTTCATTTGTTTTTGTTGTCAAACATTTTGATCTAGTCATTTTCTTTTAAGCTCAAGTCTGTTGGAAAGTTGTTGAATTAGTTGATCTTATGATGGTAATAGTTCTATAGGCATTGATGTCTGAACTGCAATCCCTTGTGGCCCATAAAGATATCAGAAATAATTGTGCTTGATCTTGAAACCTTATGATGTAAAGGAATCCAAATTTCTACATGCTCCAACACCTTGTTTTTTTGCGGATTAGTATGTTCTCATGTTTTGTATATGTGGTTGCTTTATAATAACTGCTTGAAATTACTCTTGCTGCTACAATACTAGCAGCCCAATTTGGTTTACCATCATGGCGGGAAAAATTAATACTAAACAAATGAAACTGATGACAGCATGTTTATTTAATTATCTACCCTTTGTATATAGTTGTGTATCTTGTAAATCGTCAGTTCTTCTGTAGTATCTGAACTGTGTTCTTTGTTGCTATTTGCATTTTGTGTTGTGGTGTTTCCATCTAAAGAAGCACAGCAGACCAGTGTTCCCAAAAGGTGTACTACCAATAGACCTGCAATTGGAGGGCCATTTAAGCTATATGATACAGAAAACAAAGAGGTGACTGAATCAAAGCTTCGAGGAAATTGGACACTGATGTACTTTGGCTATACATCATGCCCAGATATTGGCCCAGCAGAAGTTCAGAAGATGGCTGATGTTGTCAAGTTGTTAGGTACGTTACTATTTACCATATCCTACTTTCATGGAAGTACATTATTGCAGACATGTCATTGTTTGCTCTTTAATATCATGTTATGTAATCTTTCACATAGTAGTGGTTAGCAGCCTTCTATGCATAACACATATTCTTCTTCTGTCTGCCAGTGCATGCGTGCATGTTTTGTTTGCATTTTTTAGATAAGACTTGTTTTTCCACTACAGTAGTAGTTATGCAATGAAGTATGTTTCTTTGCCTAGAAATGTGAGTGGTAAGTCCTGTTTTATGATTATGTTCTAGCACTATGTTAATAAGTCCTTCCTTATGTCAATGTTCAACTTCCTTGGTTACGAGTCACTGAAGCCGTGCCTTTGCTCAATCATGAGTGGAGTGATTATTTTTCTTGTATTGAGGGTGCTTCTCATGGAGGAGAGGGACTAAATTGTTTTATATCTACTATTAAGCTGAAGACTTTGGTATGATTTATGAAGGTTGGTTGAATTATTGTTATTATTTTAGGCAGAATTTATTTATAAAACAAATAAATTGACATAATGTCTATTGGGCTATAAATTAGATTTTAGTGGTATGATAAAATTGGTTTGATTTTATTAGTTTACAAAAGATTCTGAGTTACATTATTGCATGATAAATGAATAGTTTGTTAGTTACAAGGTAAAATGGTTTTGTACTTTATACAAAATAAGACTTATAAACTTTTGTTTCAGAAAATAGTTACTGTGTGATAGTTAATTTTAAATCATCACTGTTAACATATTTGTTTAATTAGTCAGCTTGGATGCAGTCTTTCTCTCCTACATGTGGTGCCTTGGTCCAGTTGGACCACTCAGCCTAAACGCCCTGGCCCACTAGGTCCACTCGGCGGACGGACATAACAGAGTCGTGTTTTTACACAGTACTCAGGCTCTTGAGCCTTCTGTCATAAGGCTCCCGAAGCTTTCATACATCCATGCCAATTTGACCAATTCGCTAGTGTCTTTGTCCAATCTGGCGGTTTATATTTCCTTCTGTTTGCATCAAATGGCTGGAGATTATCTGCTTACGTGGCTTACTGAGAGTCACGAAAGCATTGAGCTTTCACTGATGTAGATTCTGTTAGCTGGGCTTTTTAAATTGGTAGTAGTTCTCCCTATAAAATATTAATTTTTATGTATGCTATAATTTCCTTATAATAATTAGATTTATCTGAACTCTGTTGTTTGTATTACATTTGTGATCTTCCTTTTCTTACAGTTCTTAATTTGTCGTTTCATAGAGTCAAAATATGGCACCAAGATTACACCACTCTTTATCACAATTGATCCTCAACGTGATTCACCTGCTCAGCTTAAGGCATATCTTAGTGGTAAGTTGCTCTCTATTTTTCATGCTATTGGAACCTTCAAATTCACTGTATTTGGGAATGATTAGTTTGTTTCTTTGAACGGCAGAGTTTGACCCAAGAATAATAGGACTAACGGGATCCATCAATGCAGTAAGACAGATTGCACAGGAATACCGTGTTTTCTTCAAAAAGGTTGATGACATTGGTCAGGACTATCTTGTAGAAAGCTCTCATAACATGTAAGCACGCACGGTATTATTCTATATAGCTTGCCTTGTTGTAATGTGTCAGGCACTTGACTGTATAAATATACAGGTACTTGCTAGATCCATGCTTGGAGACAGCACGATGCTTTGGAGCAGAGTATGAGGCATCTGATCTTGCTGAGGCGATAACTTTGGAGATCCAGAAAGCTTCTAAATCATCAACAAACTAGTGTAGCTGCCCATTGTCTTGGGGGTATACTTCTTGACTCTTGGTACTTATTTGTTTCAATTATTTGCAGTTGACATATTAAACCAAAGCTGTGAAATAATGTTCTTGATCTGGCAGTGAATTGGTAATACTCCCTCCGTTTTTTAATAGATGACGCCGTTGACTTTTTCTTACATGTTTGACCATTCGTCTTATTCAAAAATTTTATGCAAATGTATAAGATATAAATCACACTTAAAGTACTATGAGTGATAAAACAACTCATAATAAAATAAATTATAATTACGTAAATTTTTTGAATAAGACGAATGGTCAAACATGTACGAAAAAGTCAACAGCGTCATCTATTAAAAAACGGAGGTATTAAAAAACGGAGGTAGTACTTGATAACATGCTTGTTGTTGTGTTTGGTCACAGATTACTTGTCTATTGCCTACTACATAGAGCCTGAAACAACAGCTAGAAAGTTCAATCTATCAATACCTTTTAGCTGTGGTGCTAATATTGTTGTACATGCAATTAAATGTTCTGCTTTTACTTTCTTGGTACTTGATCCAAACAATCTCTTGAAAGATCTATTACAGATGTACTTTGGATTATACACGGGGGAGAATTACACATACTAGTTTATCATTTAAATCTTGAAGATACTGTGATGTCGACACCTCATGCATAGCATGTTTGTTACAAGAGAACATTTTCATGTCGATTTTTTATCCATTATTTTAGTTGCGCTGCTAACATGGATTCGTTTTCCCAGGACCTAGTTCGGCACAATCCAATGTTTGCTGTGAAGCACTTTCTCCCTCTCCCCTGTATAGCCTTGATCACAAAAGGGTGACATGGTGAACCTCTCATTTAGCTCTGCCACCAACTGATTCCAGCTCCTGTTCCCCGCTCCTTTGTGTGTAAGAATTGAGCAAAACTGTACAGCGCCTCCTCCGATGAAAATTTTCCAGCTACGATTCACTTGCAATTTTACGATCACAGAATTCTGTGGCAATGTCTATTTGATGTACCAAAACTACCTTGTAGAACAGGTCCTGTAGGTAGGGATGAAACTGGTTCGGATAGTTTCCGTCCGTCTGAACCAATTTTCGGATTCGGAAAAATTCGGTCGGAACTATCCGGAACTTTTCGGATTCGGAAACGAATTCGGATTTTTTTTCTCGGATACGAAAACGAATACAGTAAGGGTGATATCCGATGGAAACGTAAACTGTCGGAAACTATCTGGGATTTTTCATCGGATATCCGATATTTTAGCAAAAGAGAGATTTTTCAGCCAAAAAAATAAAAAAACCCTAAAACCCTAGCCGGCCGCCTTCGCGCCGCCCACTGCCAGCCGCCGCATGGCCGGCGATAGATCCGCGCCGCTGCGGCCGCCTGCCGCTGGCCGTCGCGGGGCTGAGCGCCGAACACCTCCGTAGGACGGCAGATCCGGCCCCTCCCGAGGGCGGCGCCGCTGGATCCGCCGCCTGCCGCTGTCGCCCACCGACGCTGTCGCCGCGCATCGAAGCCGTCGCCGTAGTCGAGCCCGCTGCCGCCGCCCATCGCCGTGACCCGGCCGCCCCAAGGCCGGCGCCACCGGATTCGCTCATCACCGTCAGTTGCACGTCGTCGCCTCGCGCCGCCGAGCCCTCGCCGTCGCCTCACGACGTCGGATCCCGCGGCTCCGGGACCGCCAACCCTGGATCCAGCCACCACGAGGCTCGCGTCGCCGTTCGCCGCACGCCGTCGCCTCGCGCCGCCACGCCCCAGTCATCGCCATTGCCTCACAACGTCAGATTGGGCCGCTCCGGGGCCAGCACCGTCGAATCCGCTCGCCGCCGTCCGTTGCACGCCGTCGCCTCGCGCCGCGGAGCCCACGACGTCGGCCACCCCGAGGCCGGCATCGCCATCCGGCGCACGCTGTCGTGGGAGGAAGGGTGGCGGCTAGGAGAGTGGGACTGTGGGAGTGGCCGGGTAGGGTTAGGTTTATGTATCCCTCTATCTAAATGGGCCAACGGGCCTAAGAATTAGCTAATAAGTCTATATGTACTCCCTCAACTTCGAATTAAATTTTATAATACTAAATGAACTCATATGAAAAAAGTTATCAAAAACTAAATTGTAGAATTTATTGAGATCTACCAATTTTCTTTTAGTCATTTCTCTATCCGAGTTTGAATGAACTATATAAATTTTGAATTTTAAAATATAAGAAAATCAAATAATTTTTCGAGTAGTAAATGATTTCAAATGGAAAAATTATCAACAACAAAGTTGTACAACGCATCAAGATCAACAACTTTTGTTTGGGTCATTTTTCTATATGACTTTGTTTAAACAATTTGAATTTGAATTTTAAAATATGATAACTTCAAACAACATTTTCAAATATTAAATGATTTCAACTGAAAAAGTCATCAAGAACAAAGTTGTATAACTCGTCAAGATCTATAACTTTTATTTTGGTCATTTCTTCATCCGACAAAGCGATAGTAACATTGTTTACAAAATTTATATATCTCGCATATGGTTTCATAAGCTATAAGAGAGATATGTAAATTCTGTGAACAATGTTACTATCCCTTTATCGGATGAAGAAATGACCAAAATAAAAGTTGTAGCTTTTGATGAATTCTACAACTCTTATGTTCATGACTTTTTCAGCTGAAATTATTTAATGCTTCAAAATATTATCTGAAGTTGCTATTTTTTGAAATTCAAATTTTAAATTGATAAAACAAAAGTCACAAGAAACTATGGCCAAAATAATAGCAGTAAGAACACAATAACACATTAGAGCATGATTTTAGAAATATTTATGAAAAAGAATCATCCAATTTGAAGTTCATATGAGTGCGATAAACTAGTTTTAAATTTTATTTTCACATACGGCTCCTTAGGACGGCCATATGAGTGCGATAAACTATTGAATCGTTCTCCCTCAACCACAAAATCGGATATAACAAAATTATTAACACTAAAATTTGGAAAAGTTGATATGTTATATTAGAAAAAAAATAAAGAGTTATATTTCTTTTTTGAGTTGTGATGCTTAGTTTGAGGGGTTTTTATGTTCCGGTTAATATTCGTCACCGTATTCGTTTCGCTTCGTATTCGCACCATATCTATATCCGACAATATTCAATTTCGTTTTCATATCCGGGTTTCCGATTCCGATTCCGATTTTGAAAAAAAATGTGAAAACGAATATGATAGAGCTAGTTTCCGATCGTATCCGATCCGTTTTCATCCCTACCTGTAGGCTCTAGCACTGGATAGTGGATACCAGCTTAGATTCAGAAACCGGTTTCCTCCTTTCGAGATGAACAGGTAAAATGGGAAAAACTTTACAACAATGCCACATGTTCTGTCACGTGTAGATCTCTTCAGTGACCGACTGTTAACACATGCCTTTGGTTTGTGAAAAAAACGGTTAGCTTTTCAATGGTGCAGCTTCCTACGAGTAGTGGTGCAATGGAACTTGTCTTTCCTCTCTCTTTCCCTTTGCTCTTTTTGCAGCTGCAGGCACTCGAAGAGAATGATCTTATATTATGCAGACTGTCGTTCCCTAGCTGGACAGAAGCCACCTGCCGCCATTATGCTTGCCGAGGTGTTACTTGGCACACTCATTTCTCTATATTCGCTATGCTAGGTGTTGACAATATTGCAACAACCTTTTTTTCACTTTAACTTACTCAACTGAGGGCTTGTTTAGATCCCCTAGCAAAATTTTCCACCCTATCACATCGAATGTTTGGACACATGTATAGAGTATTAAATATAAACGAAAAAAAATAACTAATTACACAGATTGCGTGTAAATTGCTAGACAAATCTTCTAAGCCTAATTACTCCATGATTTGATAATGTGGTGCTACAGTAAATATTTGCTAATAACAGATTAATTAGACTTAATAAATTCGTCTCGCAGTTTACAGACGGAATCTGTAATTTGTTTTGTTATTAGTCCACATTTAATACTTCAAATGTGTGTCCGTATATCCGATGTAACACGTCAAAACTTTTCACCCTTTAACTAAACACAACCTTAATAGAATTTTCACCCTTGGATCTAAACACAACCTTAATAGAATTAGCCTGTAGTGTATAGCTATCAGTATTCAGTACCAAAAAGTAAGTTAACACTGGTGCTTTTAGTCCTCCGTGCTCGTGCGTTTGGTGCCTACTGAGTTGTTTAGAATCTCTTCTCGCAGTAATGTTTTGTTAATTATTTGGTGAGCTTGCGATTGCCAGATGCTGGTGCAGGTTGCCTCGGAAGCCGTGCAGAATTTTTGTTGGAAAAATGGTAGTGATTCTGATTAGGGCAGTTACTCCATATGTATTAAAATAAACCAACCTTTGGCATGTGACACCAGATTAGTACTCCCCCATCTCAAAATACTTGTTATTTTGAGTTTTGGTTGTAACTTTTGACCATTCGTTTTATTTAAAATATTATGAAATTATTATTTATTTTGTTTGTGACTTGTTTTATTATCTAAAATATTTTAAGTATGACTTATCCTTTTTATATTTGCACTACTTTTTTTAAATAAAACGAATGGTCAAATATTATAGGAAAAAGTCAAAACGACTTGTAATTTGTAACGGAGGTAGTATCATATTATGTATTAGATTGGCTTATTTTGGGATGAGAGAGTACGTCTGGTCTATCTCCGTGGAATTCCTCCCATCCCAAAATACTAATTTAATACAGAATATGATACATTCTAGATGAGGTTGTTAGCTTAATAAAACTAGAATATGTCATATTTTATATTAGTTTTATTTATATTGAAATGGAGTACTCTCTCCGTAAAAAAAATTTGTCTGTACCCTATGTCTAGATACATTTTTCTATGAGAGGTCACATCCCCTCACTGCACTGTACCATACGACGTTCTTTCTGAAGATTCTGTTGCGGCTCTGCCCTCTGCAGTCTGCACTGCAGCATACGACGACCTTCTCTGCAGATTCTGTTGTGACAGAGTCCAATTGGTGCATAGTTTGTCGGACGAGCAACGGCCAACTTTGCAATAACATGAGGAGGTTTATGAGCAGAGCGCAATAGCGCGTTGCATATTCATAGGCGGTTTGGCTGTAGTACCAACGGGTGAAGTCAAAGAAACCAACCGTTTAGGAGAGTGCCATGACCATGAACTGTCTCAATCAACAACGAAGCTGTGGTTCCTGTTTAATCAGTGCTTAACTCAAATTTATCTAGGTATATTATGATTGTCTCATGTTCCTTTCATTCTAGTAAAAACACTTTGCTCCCGAACTCGTCTCCGTATGGTCGACGATTGCACAGACGAGACAATGGCAATGTTGAAAAGCATTTTTGGATGAAAAAGGTCACAATTAGTGGAGTTGCATTTTTGACGAAGGCGGCACCATATTGACCTGGATCATACCGACACTGAGCAAGTAACTTGAAGAATTTTGGATGTTAGGCATTTCCTAAGTTTTTTTTTAATGGGATTCTATTTTCAAATCCCAACCATGTGCACAATTGGATCGTAGAGGATTGTTGCATGATAAATTCACCTCATTTCTATAGCTTGGATTTATATAATCACCATTTACCAAGTTAGAGGAAACGTAACAACAACTTGAGTCACAAGATTATACCGAAAACGCAAGGGTAAATACAAACTGTACAAATAATCCCGATGCCGGGGACTCCTCGCCGGCCGGCCGGTCGGTCGGTCACCTCTTCCAGCTCCGGCTCCGCGCGAGGGGGTCAACGCCGCCGACGATCCACGTCTCCTTGGCGATGTCTATGGACAGCTTCAGGAAATCCGGCGCCGTCCGCATGAACACCAGCTCGTCTCTCTCCTCCTCTGCGCCGTCGTCCCCCGCGGCGGCGGCGGCCGCGCTTCCCTCGTCGTGCACCGCCTCGCCGACCGGTGGCGGTGGCTCCTCTGTTCGTCTCCTTGCTAGTCCTTTCGCCGGCGCCGACCGGCACCGCATGAGCAGCAGCGCGTTCGCCGGTGGGGCGGACGGCGGCGCATTGGAGCACTCGTCGTCGTCTTCTCGCTCGGGCTCCTCCTCGTCGTCGCCGGAGTCCTGCTCCGGTGTCTCTTCGCTGCCTTCCAGCACCATGAGCCACTTCGAGAACACGCTCGAGGCGGCGCTGCCGCCGCATCCGGCGGACACGGCTTCGTGCTCCTCCGCGCCGCGGCCGTCGTCGTCGTCGTCGTCTTCGTCGTCGGTGGAGGACTCCACCGCGCCGTGGAGCGACCCGAAGCAGCGCACCTTGAGCCGGAGGCTCCGGAGCGCGCCGCCGAGGAACGGGAGCGCGTCCCTCCTGATCCCGACGGCCTCCAGCCAGCTCACCTTCTTCCTCTGCTCGTGCAGCCGCTCGATCTCCTCCACCACGGTGATCCAGCTCCTCCCACCTCCTCCTCCTCCTCCGCCGCCGCCGCCATTACCTGGCTTCCCGGCCACCTTCCTCTGCTTCTTGGGGCGCGCCACCTTGATCTGCCCGACGCACGTCACCTTGGGCGACTGCGGCTCGTCGTCGACCTCGACGGCGGCCTGCTTCGCCTTGGACCCGCGGAACAGCGGGCTGCTAGTGCTACCACGCCCACGCCCTCCTCCTCCTCCTCCAGACCTCGCCGCCGGGAGCTGCTGCTGCTGCTGCCGCCGCCGCCGCGCGGCCACCGCCTTGTCCACGGTGGTCCTCGACGGGCTGCAGATCGGCTTGGGCATCAGCGCCAGGTGCTGCCTCGGCGGGAAGCAGACGAGCAGGTCGGTCGGCGCCGTCGTCGTCGCCACCACGCCCTTCCCTCCGCCGCCACCTCCGCCGCCGGCCGCCGCCTTCTTCCTCATGGCGCGCGTTTGCTTTACAGGGAAAGTGGAGAGAGGAGGGGTGCAGGAGTAGGAGGCTGCTCCGCTTTAAAAGAAAAAAAAAGCGCGCGAGAGGCAGCTTTATTTCGCGCGCTTTTGTTGGCTTCCTGCTCTGCTCGTACCACCTGCCGCTAACTTTTTTGCGAATTCGCAGTGATATCTCGTTTTCGTTTTGCTCCTTTTCTTTTTTTTTCTTGCCTTGATGTGTCCATTTTTCGTAGTACCTTGGTTTGGGAATTGGGACTTGGATCGATGGTTGGCAGGCGAGAGACAGGTGAAGCAGAGAATATACTGAAGCATGCAGCTTTGTCTCTCCTGCAGAGTTTCTTTCATGGGATCAGCTCATCATCATCTTGGAAGGCAGGAATTTCTTGTAGATCAACAATTATTCAATGTTAAGTTTCTATGTAGTATATGTTTATTTTAAGGTAATGGAAGTAACTTCTAGCATATGCATAATATTTTGTATAGCATAAGTTTATGTCACGTGCTTTCTTTGTTCTAAAGAAACTTAATTTCTAGCTATGCATATGGACAGGAGTGTCCATGTTGGTAGATGCTTGTATATTCGTGAGTCAATTTTGGCACACAATGTTCCCTCCTCATTGAGAAGATCTTTTCCCTTTGGAAAAGATGGGATGTGAGCATGCGACAATGGTATTTAAGGGGATTTCAATGGGATAAAACAGATTCGGAAGGATGAATGCTTGATTTTACAAAGTGAGAGGTTTGATGTCTTTATGTAGGGCTTCTCATTGTGTTTACCTTTCTATTGGCATTATTAGTGCTTTGAAATTTCAATGGACCATTTTACAAAGCTATAGCCTACTCTACTTTTTCAACTCAAATGCTAGCTACCCATCAACCCCCAAAAGTAGAATTGGAGATTTCAGCTAAAAGAATCAAAACTTTCTAGTCAAGAAATTGGACTTGGATGCAGAAAGAGAGAAAAAAATCTTAAAGCTCATCAAACCGATAAAATTTCAAAACAAAAAAAAGGTTAAAGTGTTTTTTTTTATCAAAACACAGTGAGAGAGGCCCTCACGGTAAATTTTATTAAGAGAGGAAAAAAGAGTATATACAAAGGCCCAAGGGCCGAAAGAGGGGAGAGGAGAAAAGAGAGAAACCAAAACAGCAAAATTACAATTGATCAATCCATGATTGCACTAGAGGTTTATGAGCAATTGATTCAATTTATGATAATTTGCATAAACAATGCAAAAATGTGGGGGTTTTTTTTTCACAGAAAGTCAACTCTATGGTTACTCTACTATAGGAAATATATGAGCCGAGTTTGAAACTCTTGGAGCTCAGTTGAAAAATGAACCAGCTGGTTGGGCTAAGACTAGCTATCTCACAAACTACAACATGCATTCTGATATATCATCTCTATTAGTTCAAAAACATAGAAAATAAGTTAAGTCATTTAGGTAGCTTATGTATTTGATCTGATCAGTTAGTTGAAATTCTCACATATTGTTCAATAAGTTGACCTAATTAATAGTCTCGCCGTGGCCGGTGCTTTGCTATCTTTAAGAATTTCTTTAGCCGACCATATAAGAATGTATGTACCTGTACCACTGCAATTTGGTTAGTTCGTGCGTCACCTAATTCACTTGATTAGATGAAATACTTTTATAATTACTCGGCTGTGCATGTAGTCTATCTTTTTTGAGAAAATTCCCTATATGCCCCTGAAAATTTACTCAATCCCTTCAATACCCTTGAATTTGACATCATCTCTTATATACCCCTGAGTTTTTATTTTGATCTCCTCTATACCCATCTCCGTTAGTTGACCATTAGTTGACCGTTAAATATTTTAAAATGACTATATTACCCATCCTATACATATGTGGTACCTACCCAATAAATTTTCATATGAAAAAAATAACTTATACAAAATACAAGCAATATAATCATTTAATGCCCAACTTAAAAAATAAAACTTATTATTTTTTATTTTTAAAAAATTATGATTAAATCCATACATTAGTTTCACCAGAAAATTAAGAGCAAAAACTAAATGTTATTTAGGTTTAAATTTTTGGGAAGATATACGAAATTCATCAAATTTGATCTGAAATTTATTTTCTAATTTGTGATAAACTAAGAGAAAATTCCCTATATGCCCCTGAAAATTTACTCAATCCCTTCAATACCCTTGAATTTGACATCATCTCTTATATACCCCTGAGTTTTTATTTTGATCTCCTCTATACCCATCTCCGTTAGTTGACCATTAGTTGACCGTTAAATATTTTAAAATGACTATATTACCCATCCTATACATATGTGGTAACTACCCAATAAATTTTCATATGAAAAAAATAACTTATACAAAATACAAGCAATATAATCATTTAATGCCCAACTTAAAAAATAAAACTTATTATTTTTTATTTTTAAAAAATTATGATTAAATCCATACATTAGTTTCACCAGAAAATTAAGAGCAAAAACTAAATGTTATTTAGGTTTAAATTTTTGGGAAGATATACGAAATTCATCAAATTTGATCTGAAATTTATTTTCTAATTTGTGATAAACTAATTACATCCCCTTTGTTTTTTCACAACGAATCTTTTTTCACTAAATATTTGTTGAAAAGTAATTTTCAAATTTTGTGCAGAACTGTTTTGACGATAAATAATTTTTATTTTAATGAAATAATGTTTTATTTTTAAAAATTCATAACAAATATTTAGTAATTTATTCCTTATTGGTTTTCACAACTCAAATAATTTACACATAAAAAAATTTCTAGCTTTTAACAATATACCAAGGACAAGAAAGTAATTTCTACAATAACTAACGGTCAAACTAATGGTCAACTAACGGAATGGGTATGTAAGGGATCCAAATAAAAACTCAGAGGTATATAAGAGATCAAACAAATTTCAGGGGCGTAGAAGGGATTGGGTGAAATTACATGGGCATGTAGGGAATTGGCCCATCTTTTTTACGTAGCTAAGTTGTTCATCCCCTAAACCATGGCAGCTCCTTTTCTAGGAGCAATTTTTAATTCACGTACGGCTTGCACTACACAATTAAACACCTAATCCCATTATATGAAGATAAAAAGAACATATCTAATTGTGTTTTTACTACGTCGTATTAGGCAAAAAATTTGCTGGACTTTTACATGAATCAGTTTGATTCCAATAGAAACTAGGTGAAAAAAGGATAATCATTCACTCCCCTGACGCATGCGCGCCACAACACCGCCACCTCTCCCCGTCCCCACCCCCCACACACACATCTTCATCCTCCTTCTTCCTCTTTTTTTTCTCTCCACAGATCCAATTATAGTGTCTAGCTCACTAGTGAGGTTGGCCACTTGGCTGGTGGTGCTCTGCTTTGTGCAAGGACAGGCCGACGAGGCCCCATGGTGAGGCTGGATTGCGACGCTTGGTGTAGTGCAAGCGGCGGCGGTGGTGGTGGCAGTGTAGGTAGCGGGAGCAATGAGGGCGGTGGGGCTGGTCGGTTTTGCAAGCTCCAGTGGCTTTATTGTGGGGGTAATGGAGCTCGCCGCCATTTCGGGCTCAACATCCTTAGAGCATGGCATCACAACAGGTGTTGATGGTGGCAGTGGTCAGCGGCGTGCCGCTTGCAACCATCCAAAAGGGGGTTGGTGTGGCCATCGCCTCGTCATTTGTTCTGCTCTTCTGCCCTGTCTCGTGCTCAACGTCCTATAAGTGTCTTGGTGATGGTGACTGGATGGTTCGTCGAGGCGGTGAGATGGAGGTGGCTGTTGTGGCCGGTTGGACAACTTTAGCTCGATGACGACAACTTGAGGTGATGGCGAAGTCGTGGGCAGTGCCAATGGCATCCTGCTCTCCATGTGATAATAAGGTGCCTGCACGAGAAGTGAAAACAGTGGGATCCTTAGTAGTGCCGGCGGCAACCGGATTCACCCTAATGGCCAGATCTGTTTCTACTTCTTGTTTTGCAAGACAACTACAACAAGGAGCGGCATTGGCAGGATGAAGGCAAGCTGGTTGGCAATGCTAGTGATGGATGGGGTGCGACATTGGATCTGGGGCCTAAATGTTGTTGTATTGTATCCGAGGTATCCGTGCGTGACATTATCTATTTGTGTAGTAGCAAAGGTGAACTGGAGGGACTTCTTCTTTTTCTCCTCTGAATGACATTGGCAAGCGAAGGAAGTAGATGCTGGGAGTTACTAAATTTGAATCGATTGGATCCAGCTGTCGATAGGGATATGGTGGGGAAAGGAGCGAATCAAATATGGATGTAACGTGGATGAGGAGTATAGGAGTTTGGATTCCATATCAAGATCGACTTGGTGTGGTTCTTGGTACGGCAGGGCTCGTTAAGTAGAAGAAAACCGAAGATTAGTCTTCTAGTCCTTTTCTTTTTTTATTTTGTTGTTGTGTTATCTCGGTTATAAGATTCAAAATCTAAGTATTCATACAACCTCTGGATATGTATGGATATTGATGCCAGATTTTTATCCATTATTAAAGAAAATTAGTTATGAATTCAAAAGGGGCCTTAATACCTAATCCTTGGGTGTGTTGATTGTTTCCCCTTTCTACCCATGTTCGTTCGATCAGCTCGTGCCTAGTATCTTGCTTTACTTGATGCACCTTCGATCTCTGTAATGATACAACATCACAACCAATTGTGCACACTGAATCATTTTCCTCTTCTCCGTTTTTTAAAGTAGAATGAAGAACTTGATGAATAGGAAACTTGCTATTCCTTGTTTTATATAAGCTATCATATGCCTTTAAGTACTGTCCTGATGGTGGATTGCAGCTAAGCATTGTTAGATGAGGACTCTAAAGAAGCAAGCTACACCCAGCTTTTGGGTTAACTTTTTATGCTTAATTGATATCTGTGCAACTTTACCAATCAACCTTTAATTACCGACACATAGGCGGGAAGGCAGGCAGTAATTTTCTTATCTGAAAATTCTACTTACATATTCTGGTTATTAATTTATTGAAAATTTAATTTTCGGTGAGTGCATTTGACAATATTCAGACATTTGTTCGTAACAACTCAGTTGTTGAATATTTATGGTGGCTGTAT